TAGAGGGCAGTGTCACTGGCCCTCATATGTGGGATCCGAACCGGGGCCCTCTGGCATCCCAAGCCAGCTCTTAACCAAAGCGCCACTTGGCCGGCCCGTAAAAGATTTTTAATGAAGTTGATGAAGATATAAGCTGATGTCTTGTGATTTGCCCAGGACAGACCCAGGAAAGAAGAGTTGGAGGTGGTTCAGCAGGATCCCATGCTAACACTCTTCTCTCTCCATTTGAAGTTAAATGAACTGGTGGTGGGAGACACCAGCGGAAAGCTGTTGGTGTATAAGAATGATGACAGCCGGCCATGGCTCACCTGTTCCTGCCAGGGAATGGTCAGTATTCAACTCCCTGGGTCTTGAGGGGGGAAGGGATTTCTTCTGTCCAGGAACTGTCAAGGCTGAGTCCCACACAGGAGCTCACCAGTGTGTCCTAACTCACCAGCTACTTAGCCATTGACTCAAGGTTTATTTGATTCTGGGAGGGAAGACCCCAGTCACTGCCCTCCCAACTGTTACACACACACACACACACACACACACGCACGCACGCACACACGGTGGGGTTGTTTTTTATTTTATGTTATGGAGTGACTCCTTAAGTACTTTAGGGAAACTGCTTAAGTTGTATGATCTTATAAAATATAATAGAAAATGGGGCATTATTTGAATACGTCTAGAAACATGGTAGTCTGGCTGTATTAGAATTTTTGTTTTGTAGAGCTTTTGTCTTGTTTTGTTTTGTTTTGAGCCCAAATTATCTTAACTATTGTACTTCAGGTCTTCATACTGCTGTTGGGGTAAGCTGAACCGACCCTACAGCAGTAACTCGATTAACGCAGACTGTCCGTGTAGGTCACAGGTTTTCAGTGAACAGTGGTAATTAGAACACCCGCTCCTTCCTGCTTCACAGATTAGGGATACTGGTTTCCCTCTGTGTCCCCCTGACCCTCCCTTTCTTCTTTTGCAGCTGACTTGCGTTGGGGTTGGAGACGTATGTAATAAAGGAAAGGTAAGAATCTTGGGGACCTTGGGATTTCAGTGTAACTCCAAGGCCTTACCTCGATCGATTCCTGTCTCAAGGTGGAAATCAGTTGAGAGTTCAAGGCTTCGGTCCTGACTTGTATGTTCTACTGATCAGCCTGTGCCCAGACTTCGCTCCCCAGTCCATCTCTCCTATACCTCTGTTTGTCCCAGAACCTGGTGGTGGCAGTGAGTGCTGAGGGCTGGTTTCACTTGTGTGACCTGACACCTGCCAAGGCCCTGGATACTTCTGGGCACCATGAGACCCTAATGGGAGAGGAACAGCGTCCGGTCTTCAAGCAGCACATTCCTGCCAATACCAAGGTCATGCTGATCAGCGACATCGGTGGGCATGGCTGTGCAGGCACCTGGGGGAATAGGAGTCAGAGGGTAGCAGAGCAGATCTCAGGGCATTTGGGGCGGGGGTCAGTATTCATTTGTGCAATTGTTATGCATTTAATGTCCAATTACTGAGCTCCCGTTATAAACCAGGCATCGTTGTAGGCACTGGGATTACAATAGTAACTAAGACAGACCAAAAAATGCTGCCATCTTGGACCTTTGCCAGAAGGGGACAGAAAAGAATATAAATGCTGTAAGAAAATTAAAGAGTATATTAGACGGTAGTAAGTGCTATGGAGAAAATAAATCACAGAAAGGGGCTAGAAGTGTTGAGGTAGAGTTGTTCGGGAAGTCCTTGCCAAGAAGGTGACATTTGAACAAAAATTGGAGGTCCCAAGGGCGTGAGCCATACAGGTCGGGGTTGATATTTAGGCCACAAGCTGCCTCGAAGGTGTATGGGATGAATTTGGACACGAGAGAAGTACAAGGAAAGCAGTGACAGGACCTACAGAGCAGATAAGTGGGTAGGGCCCTGGAACAGGTAGGTAAGTGTTGTAAGCACAGGAAGGGCAGGGGAACTGGGGAACTGGCACCAGACTCAGTGTGTGAGGTGGTTCCACAACAGATGGGGTCTGAAGTCATACTGGATGAAAGTGCCAGGGGCGGTGACGTTAGCAGAGGAGCGGGGAGGTGAAGCTTGGAGGATTCAAGCTGAGGAATGCAGATTTGGCTCCAAACTCGTCTTATTTTCTGGATCCACAGATGGAGATGGGTGTTGCGAGCTGGTGATAGGTTATACAGACCGTGTAGTGCGGGCTTTCCGCTGGGAAGATCTGGGAGAGGGCACTGAACATCCGACAGGGCAGCTGGTGTCACTTAAGAAATGGATGCTGGAGGGTCAGGTGAGAGGCTGAGCATGGGGATCACAGAGCCCAGAGAGCAGGGAGGAAAGCCTCCTGAAGGGGGATTGTGGAATGGTCCGGGGCCATGGTGCAGGGCGGAGAAAAAAGGGGAAAGCACCCTGCTGAGAGAGATCTAAAGACCATTTCAAATCAGTCTGAGGGGAAATTGCTAATAAGTAAATAGGAAGGAACCCTGTGCTAAGAATTAAGAACTTGAGGTGGGTCTGACATGGTCTGTATTGGGATTGATACCCCTCTGAGGTTTGCACAGTGGAAAGCAGATGGTGTGTGTGGAGAGGATGACACCAGGCAGGAGCCCTGTGAACTCTAGAATTCCTCCTGCTGCTACCCTCAAAGCCTGGGGGACAGCTCCCAGGGCCCCGCCTCTCTCCCCTTTCTCTGCAGGGTCCCGCTTCCTTCTCTGTCCAGCCGCCTTTAAGCGCCTGTTCCCTGGTGCAGGTGGACAGCCTCTCGGTGACTCCAGGGCCCCTGGGTGTTCCTGAGCTGATGGTATCGCAGCCAGGCTGTGCTTATGCAATTCTACTGTGTACCTGGAACAAGGACACTGGACCCCCTGCTACCTCTGAGGGGGCCATGGAGGGCAGTCGGTAAGGGGTGCAGGCCTGGGGATGGCTTGGGGTGCATGGAAGCAAGATGGGCTCCTGGATGTGCATGGCTGTGGATGGGTTTGCAGTTGGCAGAGCCGCGTCAGCCAGGTCCAGCACAAGCACTTCTGCCCTCCTGTCAGTATAGTGGGACCCAGGGAATCCTGGCTTTAACCTTGTAGCAGCTGGAAGAGGTTCCAAGATTCTAACCTGGCAGCTCCGTCCCTCTCTTTTCTACTTGTCACATGGACCAGACGGAGTCAGCGATAGGTTTCCTAGTTGATTCACATCTTGGAAGCTCTTACGGAGATGGGGCCACAAAGGTACTGAGGAACTAAGCTCACGTGGTCTCCCACTGAGCCCCCTCCTCTCCTGCCCACAGGGAGACTCCGGCTGCCCGAGATGTCATGCTGCACCAGACGTCCGGACGCATCCACAACAAGAATGTCTCCACTCACCTCATTGGCAACATCAAACGAGGTGAAGTGGGGGTGGGGTGAGGCAGGGAGCTGAGGGCAAACGTCTGTTCTGTGAGAAAGGAGAGGCCTCCCCTGATTTCTAGTCCTGCCCTTCTTGCCCTCCCTGCCCTTGGCCGCCCCTCACCCCATATGCTCTGATCTCGCCTTGACCTTCACGTTTTCTTCTTCTGTCCTGCCCACAGGCCACACCCCTGACAGTGGTGGCTCCGGCCTCTTTGCTCTCTGCACCCTGGATGGTGAGTTCCCCGGGTCAGCTCTGGGCCAGTGCTGGGGTAAGAGGGTGTGTGCCTGGGGTCTGCTCTGGGGTCCTGTCGCAGCCACCACAGCCTGCCTCTTCCCCTGAAGGGACACTGAAGCTGATGGAGGAAGCGGACAAGCTGTTGTGGTCAGTGCAGGTGGATCACCAGCTTTTCGCCCTAGAGAAACTGGATGTCACGGTGAGTGGGGAACCTGGGGAGAGGAACATTCTTACCCTCTTTACATGGAGAGATGAGATTTCCGTGAGGCTATTCTCACTTCACAGTTAACTCTCGGCCTTCATCTTAAGGCTCTCTGAGACAGGTCTAACTCCCCCTGAAGTGAGTTCCCCTTATTCCACACATGTGACACTATTCCCTGCACTCTGGGGAATCTCACACACTAGTACCTTTCAGCAGCTGTCACAGCTTCAAGGAGAGACGAGTGATGACAGGGTCCAGAAGTTAGTTATCAGTCCCAACCCCAGACAAATGTTTCATAGTGTTTCTCTTGTTCTGTATGAGCCTGTCTTCTTTCCTAAGGTATTGGCCCCTGAAGCAGCAGGTGGGGGCTGCCCTTTGTGCTGCCATAATGCGTGCACGATGGTATAGGAGAAGAAACACAAAGCTGTGAGGTTGGGTGGGACAGGCCTGGGTGGGAGGCCTGATTCTACCCCTCCCAGATGAGTGACCTTGGGCACAGGACTTCGTTTCTAGAAACTGAAATTTTCTCAGTATCACACCGGGAGTAATGTTGCGTACTTCACAGGGTTGTTGTGTGCATTGTATGAGGTGGCTCATTTGATGGCCCTTTTGGTGCCAGGAACATGGGAGAAATTCAGTAAGGAACTAGGGCTATTTGCTTTCCCAGTTGGCTTTGTCACCCAGAGCCAAGTCCACAGCTCCTTTATCTTTCACACAGCCATCATTAGATCTCTTTCTAAAATGGCTCCCAGCCATCCCTGCAGTCTTGTCTCTGGCTCCTTTCAGGGCAACGGGATCGAGGAGGTGGTCGCCTGTGCCTGGGACGGACAGACGTACATCATTGATCACAACCGCACAGTTGTCCGCTTCCAAGTGGATGAGAACGTCCGAGCCTTCTGTGCAGGTGGGCTCCCGCCCTCAGCCCCCCTCTAGCCACACTTGTCTGCCTCTGATTCTCATTCTCAGTGTGGGTGTTAGGGGTAATGTGAGTCTTCATTAAACAAATGAGTCCCTTAACTCTTTTCATTAGAGGTTGATGAGTGGGTACTAAATTGCCATCTGTACAGCTCTAAGTAAGGGAAAATAAAAGATAGTGAGCTCGCCAATGCTGAATGTTTTAAAGAATGAGCTGAGCTCTTACCATCTGTCTGTCTGGGATGTATGAAGACATCAGAAAGTTCTTTCCCCTCTGAGTATGTCAGAACTCTGAAGAACATTCTCCCAGAGCATTCCCAGTAGTTCCCAATCGAGACCTTGGAAGCCAGCACTAACTCGTCTGGGTGACAGGGCTATATCTCCATGTGGTTACGGAAATGAGAATTGGGAAATGTGCTCTAGTGTACATGCTCCAGTGACCTGAGATGTTAATGTGCCTTTGAAGAGGGAGTGCCACCCCAAAGAAACCTTAGTTTCGTGTCACATTTTGCTAACCTACCCCTTAGACTAGCGAGACTCCCGTCATTGCTCCAGTTATCATTAAGATAAGAAAATCAAATATCACCTTTTTTGGATGCTGTTCTGCCTGGGTTTTGTTACTGTGGTTTTTCTATATCTGGAATGGGCCAGATACTTTACTCTTTTATCTATTTTACTGAGTTCCCAACAGAGAGGACATTGAAAGAGGGCCTTTAGTTTTCTGCTTGCCATCTGCAGGAGGGTCAAAACTGCTGACTCTAATGCCGGTATCTTGTTCTCTGCCCTTCCACCACTGGGACTAAAACTCCTTGACCACTGTGTCACCACCCGCACTTTCCAGGCCTATATGCCTGCAAAGAGGGCCGCAACAGCCCCTGCCTGGTGTATGTCACATTCAACCAGAAGATCTATGTGTACTGGGAGGTGCAGCTTGAGCGGATGGAATCTACGAATCTGCTGAAGGTGCTGGAGGCCGAGCCAGACTACCAGGGCCTGCTACAGGAGCTGGGCGTGGGTGAGTCCCAGGAAAGCCGCGGGGCCGGCGGGGCCCAGGGCCCAGGGCCCGGGAGAGCCACAGCCTCTCACCAGCCCCTTCCTCCCCCTCAGATCCTGACGACCTCCCAGCAGTCCGCACCCTGGTTCACCGAAGCCTCTACCATCCTGACCAGCCACTGCAGTGTGCTCCTGCAAGCCTCCAAGATCCCACCTAGCTGGACTTGCCCTCCTGGCTGAAGAAGGATCCTTCTGAACCTCTCCACCCCCAAGATATCCGTGGTATTGGCAGGATAGGGAAGATACATCCCCGAGGATCGTGGAAGGATGGAAACGACTCCAGGGTGACTGTGAACTGTAGATCTCACAGTCTTCTTCATGAGAGGAGACAAGTTGACTCTCTGCCCATTTTCTTGTGTACCTCACCTGTCAGTCACATCAGCAGGGTTGTAGGACCCCAACCTTATTTCACTTCATCTGGGGCTGCCCATTCCCCAGAGCTCCCCACTCTTGTGTGGAAAGCAGCCTTGTTTGTGAGGAGGGAGCACAGATCTCTTGCAGGGCCCCACACCCATGAGGAAACTAGGCTTGGAGGCCAGTGGAGTGGTAAGGTAAGGGCCCACCTCATCCCAGGTGTCATCTCCTGTGGCACAGCTCCAGTTCACCCACAGTAGGAACTCTTACAGGAATGGCAAATTCTGTTTTGTGTCTGAGGGGTCCTTCAGGACATTGCACAGTCTGGTCTTCTTGTGTCCCCAGCAACCCTGAGATGATTTTCTTCTATTTTCCAAAGAAACTGGGCCAGCACTGTCTCATTTTGCCATGTTTTCAAGAAGTGTGCACTTTCATAGGCCTTGCTCCATTTCCCACCCACCATTTCTATAAAAAAAAACCTCATTGTGTGCCAAACAATAGACGTTTAAAATCTGATGAAGGTTTATGATCCAGCCACAATCAGAATTATATCTTGGGCCATTTTTATTGCTTGTGCTCTTAATTCTGTGTGCTTTAAATCACTGTCTTTCAAATTGTAGGTTGCAATCTTTTGGTGGGTTGCAGTCAGCACTGTTTTGAATAAATGAAATAGAGTAAAATAGAATGAAAGATACAGTATAGTGCTTGTAATATAGGGAAATAGTGTTTTGTTACAATTGTATGTATATGCACGTATGTGTATACTGAGTGCAATATAAAGAATATCTCCTGCTGAGAATTCTGTTCAAAGGACTTCGGCAGCCATTGCTCTTGGTTACACTGACCCTTGCTGCATGGGTCAACCTGATGAAGGGTCCACATTCACGTCTCCTTTGTGTAAGGGAATGAGGGCAGGGTTATCATTCAGCTGCTGAGAGGCATGGAGGAAGACCAAAGGACATTAACGTAGAGAAACAGGTGTTTATTCAAATGGAGAAGCCGCTGAGCTGAGGGCCTGCCATAGGGCCTGGGGTCTGCAATTACAGAAAGCAGGAGGCAGAAGGGAAAGGAACAGGGCGAGACCAGGAGAGCAGAGGTCATGGAGCATGGCAGTGAGGGACCAGGGTGCTGTCACACAGGTGCTAGTGAGCCCCTCTCCTCTCCTTGTGAGGACAGGGGACTCAGTCGAGAAAGGTAAGGCCAGGTGTCATGGGCCTTGCATCTTGGTTCTTCTCTAATCTACCCCAGGCTCAAGATTTTGTCTCCAGGCCAAGGTCCTAGTTCCCTAGTTCAGGTTAGTTACAGCACTCTCTTTTTTTTTTACCCCTAATCCATGATTTAAGATGCTCAAACCTCCAGAAAGACACTCAGGTCTGGCTTCTTAAGGTTTGGGTTCCCTTCTTCACAGTGAAGTCAGAAAAGGCTCCTTGTCTCTTTGCTTTGGTTCAGAGCCTGACGGGGGAGCGAAAGCCACTGATGCCACAATAAGACAAGCTCCAGCTCAGTAGGCCAGAGATGAGGGGCAGAAGGAAGGTCTAATGAGGTGGATAGTTCTAGAAATAAGAAGGAATACTGGTTAGGTGAAGTCACTACTGACCACCCCACCATCCTGTCCACCTTGGGGGGCAGTTCTCTGCAGGGGTATCCCACACTCACCCCAAAGTTTAGGGGCCCAGTGGATGAAAAAGCAAGTGGAGAAGGAGAAAGATGCAAAGCAAATGTTGGAGGTATATCCAAGGTTTTGCACAGGGTAACCAAATAATAACTGGCTTCTGATGTTTGCAGGCCCAGAAAAGGTAACTAACCGAGCTCCCAGCCTTGTAAGCTAACATTGCTCTCTACCAAACCAACTTCCTATTGTACTGAACTAGTTCATTATTTCTTCTCCCACTCCACTGTGAGCAGGCGTGTGTGGAATCAGAAAGGTAGGCCCAAGCAGGGCCAGGGCCCCAGCTGGGTGAGGAGTGTTTTCTAGTTGTGAGACATAATGAGCCCCAGAAGGTGAGGTGAGGACGTGGGAGTGAAGGCAGTCGAGGGGTGTTTGGGGTGGAGTTGGGAGACAGGTGGAGGCAGTCGTAGGCTGTAGCCTTTGACTCCGGCCAGCACCTACCCCGCCAGGGGCCCAGCCCAGAACCCCATTTTGCTTGTGTCCTTTTCTGCAGTCCTGATCTGGCTTTGCTGTTGGGAGCGGAATGAGAGAGAACAGGGAAACCAGAACCCTGAGAACCTGGGCTCCCTCTAGGAAAAACTCCTGGGGGAGAGGGAAGTTGCTGAGAAGCAGAGAGGAATGTGGCCAACTGAGGGAAATGGGACAGCGGGGTCAGGGTGGTGACAAAAGGAATAGACAGTAGTCCCCAGCTCCCAGGCTGTAGTAATGTCTCCACAACCCACACGACTCTTCCCCTGAGTCAGGGTGCTTCCTGCTGGGGACTGGGGAGCAGCAGTCACTCGCCAGGCTCTTGGCACAAAGGCAGGAAGGGCAGCTCTGGGAAGGGGGCTTTCAGCCGCAGCACCCCGCGCTCCAGGTCGATACAGCACTGTGAGGTGTGGAGGGGAAAATGGGAGCTTACCTCAGCAAGTAATCTCTCATCCCCCTCTTTTTTGTCCCACCCTCCACAGCTTCCCCCTGTTTCCATTCACCAGGACCCCTGTTGGGAAGGGACGCAGTTCTCCATATTTTCCACTAATGGGGAAATCAGGAACCTCTAAGAAAGTAAAAGCGCATATCTCCATGTCTTTCTCATCAGAACTGACTCATGCTTCCACACCTGGGCCCCCTACCTCTCTTGCCCAGCGCTTGGGTTAGGCCCAAGTGTGGGTGCAAGTGCTAGCATCCTTACCTTGAGAGAAAGCAGGGTCTGTAGTCCAAGACAGAATTCAGGACTCTCAACATCTGCAGGAGTCATTTGAAAACAGGAGAGGCTAGAGGGTACCTGTGGTCAAAGCTGCCCTCTTGTCAGCGAGTGCCCCTTCTCTGCCCACCCCACCCCCCAGGTCTGGGTATCTTGGCACAGAGATTGGGGATAGTCACAGAATCTTTGGGAACACCTTGTCTGGTGCTGGTAGAGCTGAAAGTTTCTGCCCTTCCCCCACCCAGGAGAGAAAGGTAGAAAAGGTGAGACACTGGACTATTGATGAAGGGAGGACTTACCCACCACCTGGGCGGAACATGCCACGGTCTCCTGGCCTAGCTGTAGCTCCAGCTGCTCCACCTGGGGTGGGGGCCCAGGTGCCAGGTCCCCCCCTGGGGCTTTGAGGACCCTCTTCCCTAACCTGTGGTTGGGAAGCAAGGATTATGACCACGACAGTCCCCACCCCCATCCCTTTGGTCAGCTACTGGTCCTCCCCACCACACCTTGGGTTCTCACCCAGTCCCTGGTCCCACGTGGGGTCCAAATCCTTGCCTTCTCTGCCAGAGCCTCCATCAACTCTTTTTGTTAAAGAACAGCTTTACTGAGATGTAGTTCATATACCATAAGAGCTACCCTTTTAAAGTGTACAATTCAGTGGTTTTTAGTATATTCACAGAGGTATAAGCATCTCTCACTACTAACTAATTTCAGAGTATTTTTCTCACTCCCAAAAGAAGCCCCATCCCCATCCACTCTTTTGGGCCAGGCTCTTACCCCAGGCGGCTGAGGCATCCAGCGGAGATCTGGTTGTAGTGGGTGCCTGTGTCCACGGCCACCCTAAGCACCTGGTCCTGGCACTGAAAGAGGGTCATGGGCACTCAGTGAGTCCCAGGAGAAGGCAATGGGGGGGGGAGAGGGGGGTCCTTCACATCCCAGCTCTTGGGTGAGTCCCTTTCAGGACCAGGTGAAGGGGACAAATTGAGTCTTTAAAGGTGGTTTTTGTGGGACTTATACAGTCGAGGCAAAACTGGCTCAGATAAAGGAATCAAAACAGGAAGAGAGCTGCAGGTGATGGTGAATCCACATGTTTGGGAATGATTTGACCGGAAATGGAGATCTGTTTAGAGGAATTCTCCGGAGGCTGAGGGCCTCCAGGTTAGAGAAATCTAGGAGTAGAGGAGGGATGAGAAGACTGGGATACCTAGTTAGGAAATTCAGATGTGGGGAAGCGAGGGGTTCACCACAGGGAACAAAGGAAGACACGTTCACTTTCTTTTGGATATATACAGACATTTTGGGTTACACTTGGATATCACAAACACACACGGTTTTCTCATTCCAAACATTTATTGAGCATCTGCGATGCACAGATATGTGGCTGGCAGGCACTGCAATGAATGATGTTCTTTAGGCGTCTAGGGGAAGTGAAATGTAACTACTGTCTGGTCGAGAGTCTTAAGGTCTGTCAAAGGATCGTGAGTCAAGTGCCCTAGACATTGAGAGGGAGGAAAGGCTGTTTCCTTCTGGGGAAATCAGGAAAAGGTTTCAAGGAGGAAGTAACATTTGAGGCTTAAAAGATTGTAAATGTGGACACAGAATGATTGCAAAGCAGGCTGAGAAATGCTGAGCGAAGACAGTGGCATAAGAGCAGTGGGCATTTATTAGGAAGATTCGGTGTTGGTTGGGTGATTCGGTGGCTCCAGAGATGACGAGGCATCACTTGAGCGTTTTACAGGAGGGCTGCATTATCCATACAACCGCACACCATTCATATATGTAGAGCCCACTGAAGAGCATTTCTATTTTCACATTTGAAGATCATACTTTGATAAAGGAGAGGGAGGAATGGTGGTGACGGATGGAATTGCACAGAGGAAAGATGCTTTGAGGCAGACAGTAAAGAGGATAGGATCCCATTTTTAGGTGCAGGCATGGGGGGAGAGGTGCCCTTTCTCCCTCCCTCCTTCCCTCACCCAGGGTAGAAAGGAGAGTGGCTGAAGTGAGCCAGTCACAGGAGGGTTGTTCATGAAAGCCAGTGCCTGGGACACCGCTCACCTTGCCGTTGACCAAAAGAGCTGGAATCTCAGTCGTGCTGGTCTTCCTCCTATTCTCCTGGCCATGAGTCAGGGCCTGCACCAGGGAGGGCTCCCCCTGAAGCCGGCTCTGGTTTCCCTCCACCAGGCGTCTTTGGATCACACTGTGCGGCTGCTGGCTCCATCACAGAACAATGAAGGCAGACAGGTCTAAACCCAAGTATCCAGGCTGCTCAGTTCCCCCACCGTAGATATCCCAGGATGTTGTCCCCAAGCCCACCCAGTCCTGAGTCTCACAGGAGTAAGAAAGGGGCAGGAGCTTACCAGAGGATCCCAGCAGTCAGATCATTATAGCAGAGTCAACCCCAGTAGCAAATCATGCCATTTTTTCTGGGACCCCAATAGATTGCTCAGTAATGAAAAAATGGGGAGAGGAGAGTGATCCATTCTAGGTTAGGCTGATCAATATTGGCTAATGGGACATTTCAGGAACTAGTATTATGCTTGGGGGAAATTCTATCTCAAGTCTACAACATGTTTTAATTTTGGATGTTTTTTCTTTTTTTTTTTTTCCTCCTCTAACCTCATCCTTCCATGGGTTACAGATCCCTGTGTTGATGGTGTGATAAAAAGAAGTCAAAGTAACAAAAACAGGGCCGGCTGAGTGGCTCAGTTGGTTAAGAGCTCGCTCAAGAGTTTGAGCTCTGAGCAACAGCGGTTCGAGTCAGCCCGAGCTGAGCAGCCTCTGAGCTGCCAACAGGTGGCAGGATGGCTCAGCTAAAAAAACAAACAAACAAACAAAAAAACAAACACTAAAGGAAAAAAATAATCAAAACTAGGATGCTGGGAGTCATCTTGGGGCTGTCCTTCACCTGCAACCCCCCACCCTGTCCAATCACTTCCTAGATTCTACCAGC